AAGAGTAAGTGAAAAGTAACCTTTTGACCCTCAAGAGGAGGGTTAAACATGGATTTGTTGACTGTTAACTGATGGTACTTGTGTGATCGTGGAAGACTTAAATTTCACAGTGAAATTCTGCATGCAAAACTTACTTGAACAACGTTTACGCACCTTAAATCATATATGAACTTCATTCTCTATATGAGATTCTGTACGTTGGGAATACAATTTCAATAGCACTTACACAAACGTCTGTTTTTGATTAAGGCCAACTATAAATGGGCCTACCTCACAGGTGGGTGGCTGATAGTATCACAGCATGGGCTAAACGAAGGTAGCAACTAGTTCGGATTATCGATTCCCTGCACCTAGTCAGTATGCACGCCATCTATCGGAAAAATCGCTGCAATAAAAAAAATGTTTGCTGAAATGATGTGTACGCAACTGCGTATCTGCATATCTGCGCCTAACAAAGGTGTCAATACGGACGACTGACATTTTGAGTTTATAACCGTAGCAACAGACCTCAGATGAGCCCAGTCACTCTGCGGCTCTTGTTAACATTGTAATATTATAGTTAATTACAAGATTAGTTAACTTTAATAAGTCCACCTTTTAAAAAACAACAACATTAAACTGCACATGAAAAACCGTCAGGAATCAATACTACATTAAATAGCAGCTGTGCCATACTCCCACGTTCCCCCATTAGTCGTGAGGGGAGCAAGTTGCCATGGCGACACCCCCCTCCACAGCGAATGCTAACGTCGCGTCGTTGTCATGGCAGCAGGAGGCACGTCACGAGATGTCTCACGCGGAGCCTGCGGCGGTGGGAGAGTCAGACGTCGTCCCGCAGCAGCAGCAGCAGCAGCAGCAGCAGCAGCCGCGCACAAACTTCCAGTCACAGTTCCTCAAGTTCAGCCAGAAGCTGGAGGAACAAACAAAGCCGAGCGGAGGAGGAGGCGGAGGAGGAGGAGGCGGCGGAGGAGGAGGTGGAGGAGGCATGGATGAGGGGAGCATGGGGGCGGGCGACGCCAGCCGCTCCCCGCAGAAGTCACAGGACGGCAACGGTGAGCACGAGTTGATTGTTAATCCATGATTCATCGTAAATTATATTAATGATTAAATTTATGAATTTATTCTAGGAGCAGGGGTTCGGTCTCAGCTAATTCTAAAATAATTCAGTTTAAATATTTAATGTTTTTTAGTTTAAATATTAAAATAAAGTTAAATGTGTTATCATGCAATCATGGGATCACATGCCGTGCATATCATATTAGCTATCTGCTATCATATGATCACGTATTGTGTGTATCATGTATCGCATGGTCACATATCATATTAGCTATCTGCTATCATATGATCACGTATTGTGTGTATCATGTATCGCATGGTCACATATCATATTAGCTATCTGCTATCATATGATCACGTATCGTGTGTATCATGTATCGCATGGTCACATATCATACGTATTACATGTCATCATATGTGTCGTTGCAGTGTGTGGGCCCGGCTCAGTGACCAGCAGTCACCCGAGCACGCCCGGTCAGCTTGACCAGCTGTCTCAGCAGCAGCAGCAGCAGGGTCCCCCGAGCATGTCAGGGAGCGGCCCGCCCACCCCCATCCTCACGATGAGCGGGCAGGGCATCCCCGCGCTGCCGTCGTCCCGACCACACACGCCGCAGGTGCTGCAGCAGCAGCAGTCATGTGAGTACATCCATCCACCCCTACACGCAGGGAGAGTGTTACATGTTATGTGTACGTTGTACGTCCTGTGTTATGTACATGTACATGTACATGTATATTTACATGTATATTTACATGTACATGTATATTTACATGTATATTTACATGTACATGTATATTTACCCTGCGTTACGTACATGTATATTTACCCTGTGTTACATACATGTACATGTACATGTATATTTACCCTGTGTTACGTACATGTACATGTATATTTAACCCTGTGTTACATACATGTACATGTACATGTATATTTACCCTGTGTTACGTACATGTACATGTATATTTACCCTGTGTTACGTACATGTACATGTATATTTACCCTGTGTTACATACATGTACATGTACATGTATATTTACCCTGTGTTACGTACATGTACATGTACATGTATATTTACCCTGTGTTACGTACATGTACATGTACATGTATATTTACCCTGTGTTACGTACATGTACATGTATATTTACCCTGTGTTACATGTACATGTACATGTACATGTATATTTACCCTGTGTTACGTACATGTACATCTATATTTACCCTGTGTTACATACATGTACATGTACATGTATATTTATCCTGTGTTACGTACATGTACATGTATATTTGCCCTGTGTTACGTACATGTACACCCTGTGTAACTTAGGGTTAGGGTTCATGAATGGTTGGTGTTCATGGGATGAGGTTATGTCAATACTATAGCATAGCATGGGTGAGAGAAGAAAGGAATGTCATCATCACACGGAAGGTGGGGATATGTGTGTATATATGTGTATATGTATATATATATATATATATATATATATATANGCAGTCTGTGCCACTGTCAAACAACACCATTCGGAGCCGAATCGTGGACATGTCCCTTGACATCAAGGCACAGGTGATCGCGCGCATGAAGAAGGCAGGAGCCTGGAGTTATCAGTTGGACGAGTCGACCGATGTGGGAAAAGACGCGCAGCTCTTGGTGTTCACCAGGTACGAGGGCGACACAGACATCGAGGAACAATTTCTTATCTGCACGCCATTGGAAACAACAACGACAGGCTTGGACATCTTCAACGTTCTGGACACTTTCCAGCAAGAAGAAGCACTGAGCTGGGAAAACTGCGTCAGCCTGTGCACCGATGGTGCCCCTGCAATGCTGGGTGCACGGCAGGGTTTTACGGCGAGAGTGAAGCAAGTGAACCCGAAAGTGGGCATCTTCCACTGCCTCCTTCACCGCGAAAATCTGGCGGCTCAACACCTGTCAAAAGATCTTTCAGCAGTGATGCAGGAAGTCGTCGCTGTGGTGAACTTCGTCAAAGCCAGCGCACTCAACAGTCGCCTGTTCGCGTTAATGTGCTGTGACTTCGGATCTGAATATCAGCATCTGCTCTACTACTCGAGCGTGAGGTGGCTGTCGCGGGGAAAGGTGTTGCGTCGTGTAGTTGACCTGCGAACAGAGCTGGAGATATTCCTGAGGGAGAAGAATCATCGCCATGCCGCCCGATTCACCGACAGGCAGTGGATGTTGAAAGTTTGCTATCTCAACGATGTCTTCGCCGCCATCAACGAACTCAACACATCGATGCAAGGGAGAGACCAAAGCGTCATCACGCTGTCCGAGAAGCTGTTGGCCTTCAAGGAAAAGCTCGTACTCTGGAAGAGGAAGCTCGAGCGGGGAAGAGTTGCTGCTTTTCCATCACTGAACGCGTACTTGGAGGAGTGGGAAGAGAATGGAATCGACGCAATCAAGCCAATCCTTGTCAATCATTTGGACAAGCTGACTACGGAATTTGATCGATACATCCCAGACCACGATCTGACGCACGCTGGTTGGATCAGGGATCCCTTCCAAGCGAACGTCGATGACCTGTCGGAGGAGATTCCGGGACTCCAAGAACAGTGGATCGAGCTGCGGAACGAAGACTTTTCCCGAAGACAGTTCGCCGAGATGTCGCTTGGGCAGTTTTGGACGGCGGTGAAGAAAGACAAACCGATCATCGGCGAAGAAGTCATGAAAGTTCTGGTCCCATTTGGAACAACCTACCTTTGCGAGCAGGGATTTTCGGCGCTGACCAACATCAAAACGAAGCAGAGGAATGCACTGGAGCCATGCCACGACTTGCGCGTGGCACTGACGAGCATTGCACCGCGTCTTGACAGTATCATTGCTAATAAGGCNCAGCGCACGCGTACATCTCCTACGCTGGAAGGGGGTAACGCCCCCCCCCCCCCCCGCTTGGGTTTCCCCCCCCCGCTTTCGGGCGTTTTCAGTGTTTGTTTTACCGGTCATTGTTCATGCCTGAAATTAGATATACGATGCATTGATCATCCAAATAGAAAAATACGCTGCAGAAACTGCAGGACTACGTAGTAGGACTACGTCACTGGTACTGTCGCTGGGCGACGTGGCCCCACGTTATATCACTTACGTCGTCATTACGTACTGGCACGACGTGTATTAGCGCCGTGCCATACTACGTAAATACGAGTATTTTCCGACATTACCAAACCACTACCTAAGCCACTACGTCGTATATGACCGTAGCTGTGTTAGCTGGTTGTTAGCTTGGCTAGCAGGAATGTAGGCTTGTTAATTGGTTAGAAGCTTGCTTCGCGCCAGGACGGTAGGCTTGTTGATGGGTTATAAGCCTTGATAGCAGTCCTGTAGCTTGTAAGGGGTTAGTAAGCTTGCTAGCAGACCTGTGGTTGTCTTAATGGGGCTTGCTTAGCTTGGAGCAGGCTTGTAGGCTTTTAAATTGGTTATAAGCATTACTAGCAGGACTGTAGGCTTCTTAAGGCGGCTTGTTAGGCTTGCTAAGCAGGCTTGTAGGTGGTAATGGTTAAATGTTGCTAGCAGGGCCTGTAGGCTTGTTAACGGGCGTTGTTAAACAATAACACCTACGACCTGCTAGCAAGTAACAACGCGCTTAAGAGCGCTACAGGCCGCTAGCACGGCTTATTAACCCTTAACGAAGCCTTACAGCCTGCTAGCAAACAATATAACAAATTAACAAGCCTACAGGTCTAGGCAAGCTTATAAACCAATCAACAAGCCTACAGTCCTGCAATGCGAGCTTATAACCGAGTTAACAAGCCTACAGGGGACTGTTAGCATGCTATTAGCGCCGCCTTAAGAAGCCATACAGCGGGCCTGCTAGCAAGGCTTATAACCCCTTAAACAAGCCAGTTGGCCATTTACGACGGGCGAGAAGGTTGTTCGGCAATGTTACGACGCGAAAGGTTGGCGCACTTTACCGACGCTAGGTTGTCGCACGTTACGATGCGTAAGTTTAAGTTAAGGTGAGAGATTTGTGATGGAGGATAACTTTAGTAATTTTAATAACTAATTTGGTGTGAGGGTGAGAGTGAGAGTAGTAATTTAAGTGGTGAGAGGATTAATGTAAATGTTAAATTAATTAATTAGGTTTAATTAATTCAATAACCGAATATTATGCAATATTAGTGGTGGGCGGAGAGACCAATTATTAAGTAATAAATAGGGCGGCGAGAGAGAGTTACACTGTTTGGCTAGGCGATCAATATGGCCCGCACGCCGTGACGTCCGAACCTCCTGCTGCGCCGGCCTCTTACTGTCTGTACGGGGGCGCGGAGGGGTGGGAGCGACAGGGGCTTTAACCCCGCGCTCGCCCCCTGGCGGTCCCCCCTGACCGTGCCCCCCCTCCCCGCACACAGCAAACCCGCGACATTATGAGATACGTTCTGAATTTTGCATGCAGAAATATACAGTCTTAGAAATAATCTCTGTGAGTTTCAAGTATTGACCCGACAATCTACATAATTAATTAGCAATTATGCACGGGCGGTTAATGCCTATAAGTCGGTATTTATACCATATCTCGCGAAGAAGTTCGAGTTTGTGAGTCTGATAATGTCCACATTGCCTAATGATACATTCTTGACTATAAATCACTGTAAGTTTCAAGTTAATTGACCCACGATTAAACCTAATTTAAATTAGCTGTAATGACGACGCGGTAATACCATAGTCTATTGATACGCATATCTCGGCAAACTCGTATGAGTTACTTTCAATAATTCTATACCGCTAATGCATTACATGTCTTAGCTATAACCACTGTGAGTGTCGTCGTTAATTGACCCACGGGGGGAAGTTAACCACTAAATTAATAGCTGTTATTCATCGCGCGGTCAAACCCATTCGGCTATACAGGCAGTAGTACGGTTAACGGCTAGGAAAGGTATTTACCTATCATATCTCGCAAACTGTTAGATACGGTTCTTATAATTCATACATGCTAATCAGACCTGTCTTACAAGTAATCACTTAAGTTTTCAAGTTAATTGACCACGAGTTAACCCTATAAATTAGCTGTTAATGACCGCGGTCAAACCGATAGGCTTATATACAGGCCTGTAGTACGCGGTTAGTATAAATCGGTTAGGAAAGTGTATTTTTACCTATCATATCTCGCAAACTGTATGAGGTCACGTTTCTATAATGCTACATGCATAATGATACATGTCTTAAGAAATAAGCTCTGTGAGTTCGTGTTAAGCTGACCACGATTTTAAAGCCTAAGAATTAAGGCTGTTAATGACGCGCGGTCAAGCCCATAGGCTATTATGACGCCATATCTCGCGAGAAGTCGAGTTGTGATTCCTATAAGTCCCCTACATGCCTAATGACAGCACATGTCTTAGCTATAATTCACGGCTATCCTCTCAAGTAACTTGACCACGGATTAATTAACCAATAACTAGCTGTTAATGACGCCGGTCAAACCGATGGCTATTACAGGCCTGTAGTACGGCGTTGAGTATAATCGGTAGGAAATTATTACCTATATATCTCGCAAACTGTATGAGTTACTTTTCGATAATTCTAAAATGCATAATTGATACATGTCTTAGAAATAAAAGCACTCGTGAGTTCGTGTTAATGCGACCCACGATCTAACCTAATTAATAGCTGTTTAATGACGCGCGCGTCAAGCCATAGGGGCGATGTACGCATATCTCGCGAAGAAGTCGAGTTGTGATTCTATTAATTCTACATGCCAATGAGACATGTCTTAAGCTATAATCACTGTAAGTCTTCAAGTTAATGACCCACGATTAACCTAATGAATTAGTGTTAATGACGCGCGGCAAACCGGAATAGGGCTCTATATACAGGCCTGTTAGTACGGGTTTATATAATCGGTAGGAAAGTGTATTTACCTATTCATATCCTCGCAAACTGTATGAGGTACTTCTATATTTCTACAGCAAATGATACATGCTTTAGAAATTAAGCTCTGTGAGTTTCTCGTAATTGACCCACGATTAACCTAATTAATTAGCCTGTTTATGACGCGCGGCGTCAAGCCCATAGGTATTATACGCATATCTTCGCGAAGGAAGATGCGAGTTGTGATTCTATAAATTCTACATGCTAATGCAGACATGTCTTAGCTATAATCACTGTAAGTTTAAATGTAATTGACCCACGATTAACCTATATTAATAGCGTTAATGACGCGCGTAAACCGATAGCTTATAGACAGGCCTGCTAGTACGGTGTATATAATCGGTGAGGAAAGTGTTAATTTACCTATCAATCTCGCAAACTGTATGAGTTACGTTTCATATTAATTCTCATGCATAATGATACATGTTTAGAAATAAGCACTGTGAGTTTTCGTTTAAATTGACCGACGATTAACGAATTAATTAGCTGTTCAATGATGCGCGGTAAAGCCCATAGGCTATTATACGCATATCTCGCGAAAGAAGTCGAGTTGTGATTCTGTATAATTCTACATGCTAATGAGACATGTCTTAGCTATAATTCACTGTAAGTTTCAAGTTAATTGACCCACGATTAACCTATTAAATAGCTGTTAATGAACGCGCGGTCAAACGATAGCTTATATACAGGCCGGTAGTACGGGTTTATATAATCGGTAAGTAAGGTATTACCTATCATATCTCGCAAACTGTAAGACTTTACGTTCTATAATTTTACATGCATAATGTAATGTCTTAGAAAAGATATCACTGTGAGTTTTCAAGTTAATTGACCCACAATGAACCTTAATTATATGAGCGTTAATGACGCGCGGTAATGACCGATAGTCTATTATACGCATATCTCGCCGACAGAAGCGAGAGCTGATTCTATAAGTCCACATGCTATAATGAGACATGGTCTTAGCTATAATTCACTTGTAATTTCAAATTAATTGACCCACGATTAACCTAATTAATTAGCTGTTAATGACGCGCGGTCAAACCGATAGGGCTATATACAGGCCTGTAGTACGGGTTTATTAAATCGATAGAAAGTGTATTTTACCTATCATATCTCGCAAACTGTATGAGTTACGTTCGTATAATTATTTACATGCATAATGATACATGTCTTAGAAATAAGCACAGTGAGTTTCGGGTTTAATTGAACCACGATTAACCTAATTAATTAGCTGTGATGACCGCGGTCAAACGATAGGCTTATATTACAGGCCTGTAGTACGGGTTTATATAATCGTAGGAAATGGATTTACTATCATATCTCGCAAACTGTATGATTACGTTTCATAAGTCTACATCGCATAAATGATGACATGTCTTAGAAATAAGCACTGTGAGTGTTCGTGTAATTGACCCACGAATTAATCTCTAATTAATTAGTGTTAAGGACCGCGCGGTCAAAGCCATAGGCGTATTATACGCATAGCTCGCAAGAAGTCGAAGTTGGTGATTCTATAATTCTACAGGCTAATGAGACATGTCTTAAGCTAGATCATTGTAAGTTTCAAGTTATTGGACCCGACGAATTAACCTAATTGCATAGCTGTTCTAAATGACGCGCGGTCAAACCGATAGGCTTATATACAGGCTGTAGTACGGGTTTATATAATCGGTAGGAAAGTGTATGTACCTATCAGAATCTCGCAAACTGATGGAGTTACGTTCTATTAATTTTGCATGCATAATGATACATGTCGGTAGAATATCCACTGTGAGTTTCAATTAATTGGACCCACAATTAACCTAATAATTAGCAATTATGCCACGGCTATGCCTATAGCTCTATTAACGCACATCTCGCGAAGAAGTCGAGTGTGATTCAATTAATTCCACGCACACACGTCGCACGCATGCGTTCACACATACACGCACTCACGCACACACGTCGCACACATGCGCTCACGCATACACGCGCTCACGCACACACGTCGCACACGTCGGACACACGTCGTATACACGCGCTCACGCACACACGTCGCACACACACGCGCTCACGCACACACATCACAGACACGCGCTCAGCACACATGCGCTCACGCACACACGCGCTCACGCACACACGTCGCACATACGCGCTCACGCACACACGCGCTCACGCATACACATACGCCACACACATGCGCTCACGCACACACGCGCTTACGCACACACGTCACGCACACGCGCTCACTGAAATTTTCATGCAATATTTGCTTTCGTACAATTTTTTGTATGCTTCTATATATTTCTATGACAATGCATGTGATCTTGGACTACTGATGAATTTATCGTGATTATAATTTAACTTTAAAATGTGAAATCACTGAAATTTAGTGAAATCTGGTGAAATCGTCTTATCTGAGTGATTACAAGTTTACAACAGAAAGATTTGCAGTAGATATAGATGTCACGTGACTCACGTCAGATAAACGTCATCGACGCGTCACGCATCACAATGTGTTCCAAATAATCGCAAAAAGTATAGGGCGGGAACGGCAGAGTGCACGTGCATTCTGTTTTAGCCAATGAGAAGTGAGCACGGTGATGTCATTCTTTGGGAGGGCCAATAGAAACACTTCGTTGTTCGAAGATGCTTATATGTATATTTATGCTATTCTGTAGTCTGTGACTCTGTGTAGTGAAATTTTCACGTTCTGATCTCGCCATTTTCTCCCCGTCTTCTTCGATTTCTGTGACTGTTATTCTTCTGCTGCTGTTATTTATTTCGAGGTAGGTGATCTATCGCCCTATATGTTTAATTAATATTACTTTTAATATTAATATATACCCAGTAAACGTGAATATATAGTGATTAAGTTTGACTATGCAAATGCTATCGCCAGTATCGGTAAGTGCTTATTTTCACGAAATTTAGTGTTTGAGTAGGCCACTGCACGAAACGTTGAAAGCGCGTGGCGGCGCCGTTGTCAGTTGGTCGGTGCTGGTGTCAAAGAGTCCCGGTTAGGAATCTCTGACAAATACATCATACATGTACCTTTTGTTGCACAAACTCAAGAAATATAACAATGTACAGTTCAACAAAAAGTCATGTAGAATGCTTTCTTAAGCCTAGGACACACTGTGCGATTTTCTACGCTGGCCGCTTGCGATCGATAAATACGGTGCCGGGTCCGCGCGGTGTGTCCGGTCTCACGGCAGCGTATTTCGCACGCGATCCCATACGCCCGGCTGATCGCTCGCATTCAGCATGTTTAATATTTACGTACATCGCTTGCGTACGGCGCATGCGCTTGCATGCGCTTGCACCAGCTACGCCAGCGCGCCCAGCAGTGAATCATCGTTCTCGAAACATTTCGAACGCGATTGTTTTTAGCAGCCAATCAAGTGTAGCAACGAGAGCTTGGAAGCGGTTTGACACCGTACAGTGTGTCCAGCTG